TAGAACATGGTTTATGCCTTCGAGAGCGTTCTGCTCATCTAGGCATGCCATATCTTACAACTCCAGACGTCGTAATTGTCACCATTTAGTTTCTCACCTTTGTTTAAGTCAACCATAATACTTTTTGATGACATGTCTGTACTTAAGAGACAATCACGCAAGTTTATTTATCAATTATGCATGTGTCATACACATTTAAGCAAATTAATTCTAATGAAGGTTTCACATTTAGTGTAAAATCGAAAGGATATGTAAGTATCCAATTATCATCTACGATCTAAATATTTAACCAAAATTAGAAATTAATTTCTTAATGTGCATTAATATATATGATGAAGACTATAATCAATAGAATTTTGAGTCTTATTATTAACATCATATTCTAGAGTAATATAGAATAATAACCAATCCAAAATAGGATAAAACACAGAGATATATATTCATAATATATCAAAAATAAAACAAAGGAGTTCATAAAAAAAAACTTAACTAAATTAAGTTATCATGGGAAATTTTTACCTATCTCACTCCTAGAGCCACCAAGAACTTCCATAATGGTTCATTAGGCTCAATTTTGCCATATATTTCAATAAGTTCATTCTTCCAGAAATCTAATAAAGAATGATATAAAATGACGAAGGCATCCCTTTCCTCAACACTAAGGAATTTTCTATGAATTTCATTTAATTTAATCCTTAAAAATCTGAGAAAATCAAGCAAAAAGCCAAAAGGAGCCATTTGTATTTTTTTGAAATCCTCAAGAAGTCTTCTTCTTTCCGTTTTATGTGCCCTTATTTCTCTATTCAGATTTTGCTTCATCATTGAATCATTTCTTATGACTTCAGGCTCTGAATCTGTATCAACTAGAGTTGTGATCCTCTTGCGACACATTCTTCTACTATTACTTTTTGCTCATATATCAATATCACTCCTATTTGGAGCAATTTGAGCATGTTCCCGTTCAGCCATATCTGAAATAGGAACAAGAAATCAGAAATATAGTTGTTACCATTTAATGAGACAACGTATGTCACAAATTTCTGGTAGAAGACAAAAAGGATCATAAAAGGATTTTTAAAGTTGGAAGATCCGTTTTTCACATAAAAAATATTTTCGGAAAGCCCAAAACGAGTACATCATGAATATATAAGTTTTAGGCAAAAATATTTAACAAGTTATTTCTAAAAAGCTGAAAACAGAAGCAGTTTTTCATTAGAAATATAGTCAAAAACTGCCAATCTTCAAAAAATCATATCTCACTCATTTTTAATCCTTTTTTCATATATAATATATTTTCGGAAAGCCCAAAATGAGTAGATCTTGATTATATAAGTTTTAGGCCAAAATATTTAACAAGCGATGGCCAAATGTAAAAAAATCAGAAACAGTTTTCTCTGAAATTTGTCAAAAATTAGCCAACAAAAAAAATCTCAACCTAAACTTATATAACAACGATTTCAATACAATTTACATGAATAACTGGATCATTCAACCTGGCTCTGATACCAATATAATATAATTCGGAGCAAAAACAACGAATTGTGTACCTTAAATTCGCAGCGGATATTGTTGTTGTTGCTACCAAAAGAATCTGCCCCAAATCTCATTTGATTTCACTAGGAAATCAAGGTTAAAATTCACAAACTAAATATCTTTTAGTGTGATGATGTAATCTAGAAAGTCACGATTGATTTTCCTTCTTTCTGGTTTTTCCTTTTGTTTTCTACATAATGTCCCTCGTGCACCCTCTTTTGAAGAAGACTTCCCCTTTTCATTAGGAGAGGTTGAGCAGTTATCAGATAATTGTTCCCTCTCCTTTTCAAAAAGGATTTGAACAATTATAACTGTTCCCCCTCCTTTTAAGGATAAGGTTGAACAGTTATAACACAACTGTTCATCCTTTATTTAAAAAACCAGATAATCCTTTATTTACGAGTCGGGTAATATTGGATCGGTTCGGTTCACATGGGCGACCCACGATCCCAAAAACTTACACAACCATTCAAATAAGTTGTTAAGCAGGGATGACAATGGGGCGGGACGGGGCGGATTTGACAAAATTCACAAAAATTTCAACCCACCCCGCATAGTTACTTTTTCAACTTTTAACCCGCTCCGCCCCGCTTAATTTTTTTTCTCTTTTTTCTCTAATTATATAAAAAAGATTGCTTTCAGAAGCATGGATTTTTTTTTTCATTACCAATACGATAAAAAAAAATGATACTTTTTTCTATCATTTTTTCTCTAATAAAATGATATTACATAAGTCTCACGAATACTATTTTGAAATGATAGGAAATGATTGCTCTCAGAAGCGCGGATAAATTTTTTAATCGCAGCCAACATTAAAAAAAATCCCGAATTAGAAAAACAAATATTTACAATATAGCAGTGGACTTAGGAGTAAAACAGTAAGAAAAAATGCAATAAACCCCACGTTGACACTGCTATTATAATTTCAGCCTCGTTGACTAGCTCTATTTTTTACTATCTTTTCCTATTACAATACTATATCTTTCAAAATAAATGGGTTAGTATCATTTCCTATTACAATATGATATCTTGACTTATGTAATATTATTTTGGTGAGACTTATGCAAAATAGTATTCGTGCTAGTGAAGAAGAATGTGTAATTGTAATTGAAATTAGGGGTGTACATAGGCCGGGTTGCTTCGGATTTTACAATTACCAAACCAAACCAATTGTGTCGGGTTATTAAATCTAAATACCAAACCAAACCAATAAAACTCGGGTTTTTCAATATCGATTTTTCTCGGGTTTTCTCGGGTTTTCGGATTTTTTTCCGGTAAAATCTTCGTAGAACAAAATATATAACGTATGCTCAAAATATTTCTTTAATCCTAGTAAGATACAACTATATAAAGTATTATCCAAGAAAATAATACAAAATATGAGATGTGTCATGGCATTATCCTAAAATATTCAACAATAAAGACAATAAAATTATGTAATATAAATATTGCTAATTAAAAAGCCATAATAAAAATAAACATAATCTAAAAGTACTAAGTCATTCTAAAATAAATAAACTAATAAGGGAGTATTAATTACATGACTAAAAGCTAAAGCAAAATAAAAATAGGTTATGCATTTTTATCCAAATTATTGCAAAACAAAAAATATATATTCAATACATTCCTGTTCGTAATATTGAATTGAATGTCTTTTGTTAGCATTAATATTGATTGTTAGCATTATTTAATTTACTAATATTAATGGCTATAAAACTTATTGGAGCATTCAACAGTTCTAAGTCCAACCTTGAAATAATATCTTAAAAGATAAAATTATGAAATTTTGTAAGAAATATTTATAAATTACATTACAATAAATATATTTATATATTAAATATATCTAAAATTTCTATATATGTAATGTCGGGTTGGTTTGGTTTCGATTTGACTTTCTTTAGTTAAAACCAAACCAAACCAATTATGGTCGGGTTTTTTTTCCAACACCAAACCAAATCATAGTCGGGTTTTTTTTTTTCTCGGTTTGACTCGGATTATCGGGTTGGTGCGGTTTGTTGGTTTTCTTTGTACATCCCTAGTTGAAATGATTGTTTTGTTTCAAAAAGATAAAATTTAAAGTTGTTCCGTATTAAACCCGCTCCGTTTTAAAAATTTTAAAAATTATTTTAACCCACTCTTGCACTCGCATAAGAGTAAAACCGCCCACCCCATATCAAACAAAACCCGCCCGCTCTGCCCGGCCCATCCCATTGTCATTCCTGTTGTTAAGTGAATTATAAAAAGTACATACGTTCAGCATGTCATAATTTCTACTAGCAAATTGCAATCGTCATGGCATGCAAGACGTAGCAACTTGATATCAAGAAGATTTTAATTTAAAACGTAATATTACTGACTTCAATCACCTTCCTACAGCGTTATTAGGTGAGAGTTATCATCTTACCGTGTGAACAACACACATACAAAGAGATAACTGTCATAAAAAATTATAAAGATGATGTAATAAAACATAAAGAAACCTGAAATATAATGCCGGCAGCGCGAAGGATGATATCAAATGAAAAGGGTGTCAGTCCAGTCACAAACATCAATATCCACGTCTGGATCCAAAATTTAAATTTTATGAGTTCATTTAAAATTTTTATTATTAAATATATTATATTTTTAAAATTATTAGTCTATATCTACAATTTGTTATACTTTAGTAAATTCTTATATATAAAATCAGTTAGAAATTACAGGTTTAATTGAACCGATATCAGAAGTCTAGATCCGTCTATGCATGGGCGGAGCTAGCCCATCGAGTTCGGGTGCGGCCGAATCCAGTAGCTTTAGAACCCGTTTGGACATAAAAAAAATTCCCTTTTTTTCAAATTTTTTCACTTTTTTCCGAATTCATCGTTTGTTCATAAAATTTTCAATTTTCACTTGAAGATGCATTTTTGAAATTTTCGAAAATTTGAAAAACTCCAAAAAATTAATTTTCAAAATTTTCACTCAAATCACTCACAAAACTTCAAAAACAACCCAAAATTATATTCATATCCGAACACAAAAAATTTCAAATATTATTTTCACCTTATTTTGGAGTTTTACAATTCTTATGTCCAACATCACTTAGTCTAACTCATGTATTTATCTTAAAAAAATTATTGAATATATATAAATTATTAATTTAAAATTTAATTATTTAAAATAACAAGAACTCCGAACCCATAAAATTCAAATCATAAATCCGCTTTGTGTCAATATCGTCACTTGCATAGAAATGCTACAAATATTTCTCCGAAAAGAAAGTTTGACAACCGTCCGAGAGAATCCTAGAAGAGCTGGGGATAATTTCGTCATTTACTTATTTATCCGAGGTCATTTCCGGAAATCTGGCCGAACCATTAGCTTTTAAGTAGATCTCCGTTAGATAACCGATCAGTCATAATTGAGTCCACCGTAGTTTTTAAATCAAATAATAATTGTCTTATCATAACTTCCCAATTTTTCTTTCTAAAACTCCCTAAAAAATTTGGTATTATTTCACTAATAATAATGCATTTATCACAAAAGTGATAGTGGTATTTGGTATTCTGTTGAGCTGTATAAATAAATTATCATACCACAATGGATGTCGTTGGATTTTCCACAGAGCCAAACAAGACTTCCATTTCTCTCTTAGAAGATAACTCATCCTCTTTTCTCTTCTTTCCTCCTCACTCCGTAGAATTTCAGAAACATTATTGAGAGAAAAGCCACTGAATAATGTGAGTAAATTTTCTTTCCTTAAGTGGAGGTTGAAGTTTTGTTAGTTGAATTTTTTTCTTTTTTCCTTTTTTCCCCTTTTTGGGTTCATTTTCCTTTTTTTGAGTGTTTTTTCCGTGTTTTCACAACAGTTGTTTTCAAGATAGGAAAAAACGGCGAAAAATAAGCTTTCCTTTTGCATGTCTGCATATGGCCAAAGGTTTGAAATTATAGTCATCGTTGATTGGCGCTTTCTAGAAACTTGTAGAAAGAAAGAAAATTGAATTACGGTTTTTCGATTGATTTCATAAAAGCGAAATTCGTCTTTGGTTTTTGCTTTGTAAAATACAAAAGAAAGAAAAAAAGGCGAGTCGAGTCTGGTTTTTGTGGCCGTTTTCTTTTTTTTTCTTCAAAAATTTCAGAAAATTAGTGAAAATGGGATCGTCAGGAAAGTCGAATGACGAGATTGTGGAAGAAATCATGCGAATACATCGATGTCTACCGACAAGGCCATCGATTGAAGAAGTTGAAGCTGCAAAAGCGTTAATTGGGAACCTGGAGAAAGAAGATCAGTTAAAATTGGATGCAATTACGAGGCAAAATAAAAGGAAAGATGTTCCAGAAGAGCTGTTCAGAATTTTGCAAGAGATGCAGAGGAATTTTGTTCATTTCCAGAGCAAAGAGCAGAAATGGGAGGCTATGAAACTTTTAGATCTCGAGAATGTTCACTCTCTGTTCGACGATTTGATTCAGAGAGCTTCCAAATGTTTGCCTTCTAAATCTCAGGCTAATGATAACTCAGCTTCCTTCTCCGGCAGCAGCAGCTTAAATTCTCCGGCAATTACAGCAACTGCGACTGCAATTACTCCTTCGTCCAGCTTTTATAACGCCAAAGAGCCTGTTAAAGTGGCTGAAATGTTTAGTAGAGATGATAGTTACTTGAATAAGGCAAAGGCCACGTTTCTTGTGGATGGAATTGGTGTTGGGCTTCGATCTGGGGATGCTTTGTCAGGGCCCAAGATTGTTGATTCCACTTTAAAGCCAGCAACAACTAGTGGTATGTTACATCTATTTGCTGCACCATATTTGGTTATGCACTTTTAGCAATTTTGGTTTCTTAAGTTTGCTTTCTAGAATTTGACTATATAAATTATTGTTTTGTTGTGTTGAGTCAGTTTTCTTATTTTGATCAAGAAGATGCTGGTTATTTTGTTTGTAGGTCAAGATGGTGAGAAATTAAGTTTGATTAAGCTTGCTAGTATGATTGAAGTGTCATCTAAAAAAGGAAGTCAAGAGCTTATCCTTAAGAATAAGTTGTCGGACCAGGTGGAATGGCTTCCAGATTCTATAGGGAAGCTGTCAAGTTTGATTACTTTGGATTTGTCTGAGAATCGCATAACTGTCCTGCCTACCACTATAGGGGGGCTTTCGTCATTGCAAAAGCTAGATTTGCATTCGAACAAAATCATTGAACTGCCTGATTCCATTGGAGATTTGCTTAACTTGGTCTATCTTGATCTCAGTGCAAATAACTTAAAGTTGTTGCCCGCGAGTTTTGCGAGGTTAGCTCACCTTCAAGAACTTGATCTGAGCTCCAACATGCTATCAGTACTCCCTGAGACAGTTGGCTCCTTAGTAAGTCTAAAGAAATTGATTGTGGAAACTAATGACCTTGAGGAACTTCCTCACACTATTGGTCAATGTACTTCACTCAAGGAGCTTCGTGCAGACTATAACAGGCTTAAAGCTCTTCCTGAAGCAGTGGGACGGATTGAGTCTTTGGAGATTCTGTCTGCACGGTACAATAACATCAGGCAATTGCCTACGACTATGTCATCCCTTACAAGTTTGAAAGAGCTCAATGTTAGTTTCAATGAAATTGAAGCCATCCCTGAGAGCTTGTGTTTTGCTACTACGTTGGTCAAGCTGAACATTAGCAACAATTTTGCAGACCTGCGGTCACTACCAAGGTCAATTGGGAATCTTGAGTTGCTAGAAGAATTGGACATGAGTAACAACCAGATTAGAATTCTTCCAGACTCATTTAGGATGCTCTCAAGTTTGCGGATCCTTAAAACCGAAGGAAATCCTTTGGAAGTGCCACCAGGAAACATCGCTGAAAAGGGAGCACAGGTTTGTTTTCATTTTACTATGTTGGTGCTTTCTGATTTTTTTTTTAATCCTAGTTCTTTTTTCCTAGCTATTCTTGTTGTTTTTAGATGATTGGATTACTTAATTATGCTTTGTTGCTGAAATCTGCAGGCTGTTGTTCGGTATATGGCTGATCTGGTAGCCAATAGGGATGTGAAGGTGCAGCCGGTGAAGAAGAAGAAATCCTGGGCTCAGATATGCTGCTTTTCAAGATCCAACAAACGTCAGCGCAATGGTGGGGACTATGTTAATGCCTGATGTGCTGCAGCTTGGATACAAATGTTTGAACACACTATACATATGGTATGCTATTTGTCCTTCTTACCAAGTTTGTTATTATGGTTTCTTAATTAGATTTCAACGTTCTTGGAACTGACCAAGCAGCTTCCAAGAGGAGATGATTCTTAGCTCGTGTGTAGGCACTGATTACTGATATATTTCTTTAACTTAATTATTCTCCTCTGCTCTTCTTATCTGTTCATTTTCTCAGTTAATAAATTGAAAGGGTGGACTATACATGCTGGTTTGCGTTAATAAATTGAAAGGGTGGACTATACATGCTGGTTTGCGTTAATAAATTGAAATGGTGCACTGTACATGCTGGTTTGCGTTAATTACAATAATGAAATGTAGGGTTATAAAGGGTACGCCTCACATGCTTTGTTATCTGTTATAGGAAAATGAGCTGTGATTTGGCTGGACGAGTCAGCTGCCAGTTTGGTTGAATTCAACCATTTTTTGCCAGCAAATCAAGCCATTTTGTTGTTCCAGATCTGGCACTAATTCTTGCCACGTGTTCCTTTCGTTCTTTTTTCCTCATTTTGTTTCATTCCATGTAATTCTTTACTCCTCTGTGTTGTCATTCAGCTGTAACTTTTCCTCTTTGATAATGTAAAATGAGATGTAAAATTTTTATTACACGGAAAACCAGGTTGAAATTTCTCGTGTTTGACTTCCCATAAAAGTAAATTAATATTGAGTTTACCGAGTTTCATAATTTCTGATTTGATGGAATATATTTTTATTTTTTGCCTCCTTTCTGGTATTGGGAAGTCAGCCTAATATATTTCCATTATCCACTTGGGTTCTAGAACGATGCATTTGTTTGGAATCTCATTATTTTTTGTAGAGGAATGTTGCTAAGGTCAAATGAGGGATGCTTAGAAACGGAGTCTTGTTAATAAAATTTTAAGGGCGGCCATGACATTGTGTACCAAATACATTTGACCTATTTGGCTAGATTTCTATAATATATCCAATTGGATTTATGACTATTCTCGTACATGTAAAGTATACTTATATACACATAAATATGCCGAAATACCCAACTGCAGCAGCCATTTCATTACTGGTTGCATTATTATTCTCACTGAGTCATCATTACAATATTATATCATTATTTCTCGAGACAAATGCCCTATAAAAAGGTGGTTGACCTTACTTTTATTAAGCGGAAAAGACTCTTTATTTGAATCAAATTATGTGAATACGTTACGCTACAAGACGCCGGTTACTTTTATGATCAAATTCAAATGATAAAGGATGAAATTCCCATCATTTTAGGTTAGGGAGATGGCATAATTGTTGGTCATAGTCCCCAGGATCAAATAGGTCTACTTTTGTTAAAGCTGGAAATCGATGTGACAATGATGGGTGACTAGTTTGTTATGTAAATATCATAATATTGGTATTAATCGTTTAAAGTAGTCCAATAATTACTATTACTATGGTAATATTTCTCAGATTAGTAGGTCGGTCCGTGAGAAGTGAGCAAACCAAATGGACCACCTTGTCTATCTAAAAGATGAGAGATGCGCCTCTTCCAAGTATGTGCTTCGAGTTTGCTTTATTCTGTCTTCTGGCTGTCCTTGTTTCTGCGATTTTTTGTCAATAATTAACTGCATATCAATAAGTCGATTATTGATTTATAATTGATCGTGCACCAGTTGAAAATTTGGCCGCAGCTTAGACGAGTACAGATAATCTAATTACCCATTGAAAACATAACTGTAGTACATAAAGCTTTGATATTTGAATGAAGTGAAAAAAATAGGAATAGCTAACATTGAAATCGGAGTATAACTTCATCGCATACCATTAGATTCTTCAGGAAAAGTACAACCAGCAAACAATTTGGATAGCCAGATATACTAATTAAAGCAAGGCAAGCTGAAGAAACCACTTTTGTCTCGTTAGTAACACTATATTCCAACTAAGAATTCTTCTACGGCAGGAGAGATGGATAAAATATTTGGACATTTTGATAAAAATTAGGACCAGAAAACTGGTCCTTCCGATGAGAATATTATATTACACACTACATATATAAAGATTGCAAATTAATTAAGGTCTAAAAGTTACTACCAAGATAAACTTTTGTCATGGCTGGCCATCTCAGCAGCTACTTCAGTTGGGCAAGGGTGAAAGTGAAGAAGGTGATTTGCAAATTCACAACATCATGTAACGCCAGAGGAAAGAGTAGAAGTGGAACAAACAGATCAAGAAACCAAAGCCAAAGGTTATATAATCTTCCAAAATATGATTCATTGAGCTACTCACAAAACTTCGATGATGGACAGTGGCAGCTAGAGGAATTGTATTTTTGTAGAAGTGGATCTTTCATCCATAGATACGGGTAGGCAGGTAGCCAAACAGCTCGATCAGATTTCCATTACTTTGTATACATAAAGCAAAAGTCAGTAGTGTACTCGTGTTCTAATTAAGTTTGTATACTAGGTCATATCTGTATCGGTGGAAAAATAAACTCGACACTTGAATTGATGTGCTGACAGATGGCACAAGAACAATAAAGAAGAACGAAGGTTGAAGAAAGGAGTGGGTAAAACTCACGCGTTGTTTAAACTGTATCTGACAACTGGGGAAAAAGAGATAGGCGCGGGATGCACATATAGAGACTACAAGGAAAGAAGATTCATTAATAGTTGTGGATATGGAAAAGAAATCGACATGATCCCAAATTGTTGTAAGGAACCGACTGGTCGGTTTGAGCAATTGAGTCCAGTTCGGCAGTTTGAGGTCACGAGTAGCTTCACACAGTGTATTATGACTTGCGTGCATCATCGGTTCGGCTTTTTGAGAAGTTCAGAAAGGATTTTTAGGAGTGACTCTCATTTGAGAAGCTCAAACTTGAAAGAATTGACCAAGGGTTGACTTTTGAGTATTTGACCTCGGAATAGAGTTTCGATGGTTCCGATAAGCTCGGGTGGTGATTTTGAACTTAGGCGTATGTCCGGATTTGGATTTGGAGGTCCGTAGGGTGATTTTCATGACCCAGACTGATGGGCCGTGACGGGCACCCGGTGCCTTACTCAACCGAGTACCAACGTAACATATCTTTCGTATCGTACCACCATGGGTAAGTGGGCCAGAAGGGCAGTTAAGAGATAATCAGAATTAAACATAAGAGAATACTGGACATGGGATGACCCAACATGATATAAAAACTTATACACATGACATACGGACCTATAAGGCCTACATGATCATTTGTACACTCAAAATAAACTTTATCAACTTACGTATTTTCTCAGACCCATGAACAGATGATAGAGTAATATGACACATGGGGAATCAAGAACATAGGCACCTCTAGTACTTCTGTGAATAGAATCATTTATGAAAGTTGCGCATTTGCTCATTTCGTTTATATCATATAGATCATGCCAAAAGGAAAGAAGGGATAGCCTTAACATACTTGAGCCAATTCTCTTGACAATTTCTCTAACACCCGTCAATCGCGACAAAACACGTAACAACGAGATCGAAGTAGGAAAAAATCCTTACGATATTCTTGAGAAAGATTGTACCGTATTCTCTTAAAATCGCATCTCACGCTGCCTTTACATTATGAAATCTCGTTTGAATTCTTTTGCTGAAGCTATTCCTTCATTGCTTAGCACCATAACCTCTCATTTTAATGATGTAGGGAGATGTATTATTTTTGTGGGTTGTGGGCCCATTTGATGAGAATGAATTTTTGCCCAAATCTCCTAATTATGTCACTTTGTTTCATGAATTAAGAGTCACCAATTGGGATTTGATTTGTTGCCACGTTGGGAGGTTAATCCTTATCCATTATTTCCATAATTAGTATGTTAACCCCCCATTAACCCAATAATTAACCAATTATACACATAATTAAGAATTATTTCAAATTATTTCAAATCACTTTTAACACACTTTATACACCTTACTATCATGGTCATGCGATACCTTGTATGGTACTAGTCCATAAATACGAGGTATTATAGCTTGGACCGTATTTTATCTCAAAATGTCAAACTTTGATGAAATTCATTTTCTTCGATTCGCTTGCTGTCGTGCCCCCTTTTTCTCGCGAAAGCGGACTTCGACGTATGACAACTCTTTTAAATAAGGTATTAAAAGAGAAGAGTCGCCACTTAACGATTTTTAAGGTGCGTTAAGGCACCTATTTGCAAATAACTCTGGTTAACTAGTCAACACCACCAAAGATCGAGTAAGGGCTCAAATTACCTCAAAGAGAAGGTGTTAGACACTATTCGAGGTCCACAACTGTGGGTCCCAACCGAACTTGAGATTATGTGGATGTCACGACCCCAGTTCGCCCTACGTGAACCATCGTGACGACACCTAGTCCACTACGACTAGGTAAGCCTAAATTTCGGAAGATAACCAAAGTGCGGAATAAAAACAAATTAAAACAGAATGAAGAGTGATAGAATAGTGTTTAAAAGTGTCGCTCGACATACACAATATTTAACTCTCAAACCAATACATACTTCCAAGACCCGAAAATCCATGAATCACAAGCTAAGGATCACTACACAGTACTCTAACTCTAGAAAATCTAACAAGGAAAAGAAAAACAGAAGGGAAAATGTTTAAAAGCTAGAATAGAAAGGGACTCCTCGGTCTGCGGATGCGGCAGATATATCTCGAAGTCGCTAGAGCACTCGCACCGCCTCAAGAGTGATAGGACTGAGTCGCAGTACCTAGATATTCACATGAAAACATGCGCAGAAGGGGAATGAGTATACCACAGCGGTACTCAGTAAGTGCCAAGCCTAACCTCGGTCGGGTAGTGACGAGGAAGGTCAGTGCCCTACTGAGGTTAAATAAAGTATAAAGTCTGACAGTGTAGAACAGAATAGTATAAATAAATACAGCAGTAAAAGTAACACATGATATAAAAAGGGCAACAACAACTATTACAGAGACAAGGCAAAACACGGAAAGAAATGCGACTTAGCACCAAAATAACAACCGGGGATATCCTAGGATACCATCCTGTAGTCCCATATGTACATATCCAATGGATCTCCCGGGATCCCGTCCCATAGTCCAACTCATAGTGCGCGGGGATCTACCGAAAATCCCATTCCATAGTCCCAAATGTAAATACCCAGTATTAGGGGGATCTCCCAGGATACCATCCTGTAGTCCCATATGTACATATCCAATGGATCTACCGGGTGCATTCTCGTAGTTCCATATAACTGTGCAGGGAGATCTACCAGAATTCCACATACGTAGTCCCAAAATAAACAGGCAAGAGGAGGGACCTACCAGAATCCCACATCCGTAGTCCCAATGTATATACACAGCAGCAACAGGAAAATATTCAGAAACGGCAATGTCATATTAAGGCGAACAAGTAATTCTAGTCTAGCATGCTGCACAGAATTCAGGTACGATAGTTTGAGCAAGTAAAGCAATTAAGTCACTGAGACATGCTTTCCTAAGCTAACAACATGCTTAATAGTGAAAGTAATAAAAACAGGAAATGAGACATACTAGTAATTACTAAAAGAATACCGGATTTCTAACAATTAGCACAAGTACGCACTCGTCACCTCACGTACAAGGCATTTCAATTACCAAAAATACTAAATCCTAAGGGGAAGGTCCCCCACACAAGGTTAGACAAGCCACTTACCTCGAATCGGCTCAATAATCAATAAATCACGCTCTTGCCACGAGTACTCGATTCCAAAT